ATCATCCCTGTCACATCTTACGAGGTCGCGAGCCTTTGACACCCTGCCCTGTATCCGTTTGCCTTTGCAGCGGTCAAGCGGAACTCAGGATCGACCACCAAAAGCTTCTGAACAAAGTCCTGCCGGCAATCACGGGGCAAGCGACACGGACAGCGCAAGACTGCGCGAAAGACGCCAACAAGATTCACTGCGATGTCAATGTCTATGAGTCTATGCAGTCCCGGCCTTTGCTTCTGTGGACACCTTGTTCCATATCGCCTGCCCAGCACTTCGCACAGGCGCTCCAAAGGCTAGTTGTGCTGGCAGTCAGGTTGCAGAAATCTGCAGATGCATGTTCCCTATCTGGTATCTGGAGTTTGGAGGCAGACCTGCTTTTTCGAGAAGTGGCCGTCCTCCATGTGACAAGCTTGCATGCAAGAGCTACGTAATGCATGCTGCAGGCTGTCCTTGATGTCACGAATTTGCTTGGCTTCTGCTCCAGAGAAGGGCATGTAGCCTTCGGGGTGGTTAGGCAACCCCGTGATTGGCACAAGGCCCCGAACTGAAGATGTCTTGGGCGAGCATGGCTCATGGGCGGGCGACCGAAGAGGAGGACGAAGGACACAACGCCCAGGCTCCACAGGTCGCCTCGGGGCGACAAAATCTTGATCCTATGAGGTCGAACATCCCCGAGTATTTGCACTCGTCAGACTGTGGATGTCATTAGCTCATGTGGGCACGAGAGAGAGGGGCAGGTGAGGGTCTGCGACACACAGTCCAAGGCCAGCAGTATACCGGGCTCTTCACATTGCGATGTGTAGGACTTGTCCAGCACCTACGAACATGTCCCAATGTCTTATTACATGTACGTGGTACCGGACACCACCTCAGGCGCAACGTATGCCAACGTCCCACAACTGACGGCCATCGTGGTGTTCGGCTGCCATATCTTGCCTAGATGGATAGACAAGAAAAATCGAGATTTTGTCACAAGTGTTTGTGGTCAGACTCTACGCTCAAGAAGGGTGAAGCTGCACGCTTGCTTCCATGCGGCTGAATCCGAAGTCAATCAGCTTCAAGTGATCCGAGTCCTTATCTGAAACTGGTAAGAGACGGAAACTGCACCTGATCGCCCGCTGGTGCAGCGTCGTCTTGCACGCTGGAATGCTTGGCGCAGAACTTTGGCCTCGTAGAGAAAATTCTCCAACTTTATGTCGCGATGTACCTCAAAGCGTCTTCTCAACGCTGAGAGCGGCATTGGGCTTATGCAGAGCCTGCGGAAGACCGGAAGCATGACGCAAACATTGTAATTCCTTTGCGGCCAAGCAGCAATGTCATGGCTGTGAATGTAGTTCACCGCCAAAAGCATCTCGCGCGGGAATGCTTCAGCACATTCCGGTGGCTCTACAGAATCTAGCTGCTGGAGTTTCAGATACCTCGTGGTGTCTGGCTGGGCCTGGTACACAGCGTTTGCTGCATCCTTTTCCGAGAATCGCTTGCGTTCGACCACACCTGGGTAATTACATGGCAAGTGCAGGAAGATGCCGTCCAATGAAAGGCCTCTGAATTGAGCTTGGTAGCGGTCAAAAAGCTCGCCGCCTTGCATGCACTCCTTAGCGGTTGCAGAACGCGCGTTTGGGCTCCTTGCTCCGCTCTAGGCTGCGCCCTCTGCTTTGCCAAGACTCCATGACTAAGAAAAGCTGCTCCTCGGACTCGTAAACGTCTACCAGAGAAGCCACATGCGGGTGGTCCATGGCGAGGAAGATTTCCTTACTGCCACCACCAACACAAGCTCCAGCAGGACTCAAAAAGAAGCCTGTCGATCTCTTCTGACGAGGGACAGCTTCACTCTCCAGCTCCTTTCGTTTGTCCTTGCTAACGCCACGCAGCTTGAACGCCTTCACTGCAAACTTCTCCTTAGCAAACACGCATGTCTTGGCGACTCGATGTGGGAGGGAACGGTGATACAAAGTTCCAGCCAAGGAACACCAGTGTGTATGCATTTTGCCAGCTTCACCTGTTCAGCTGTTCAATGTTCCGGCCCCACGCACAGCTGGCACAGCTGAAAGACTTCCGATGAAGAGCTGCTTTCTGGGATAAACTTTCGTGAAATCTGGCCTCACCATTGTAGCCTGTGCCGAGGACCTTCATAGCGGCGAGAATGCACACAGAGTGTCGCACCATTGAATCACAGACTGCCGTCCTGGACTGACAGCTGTACACCCTCCAGCAATCTTGACCCTCAGGCCTTGTCCAAGCTACTGTAATCGTCTTCAAACGACTTCGGCGGTCGATGGTACCGGCCAGTGATGTTTAGCCTATCAAGTCATGCTGGAGAAGCATCTAAGCTCAGAGACATCTTTGGTTGGTGCCGGCCTGCCGCTTCGCTCTGCAGCCCTGGAGGTTACGAGCGACAAACCTTCCGATGTTTCGTCTTCCCTGAGGCAGGGATCGCTCTTGAGATGTTTCACATGTCCCTTCTCAGGTCAATGCAACGAAAAAGGCTAACCCACTTCCTGTCCGGAAGGCTCACGGAACTTCGGGACAGGGCTCTCTGCTAAGTGGCACATCTGCCCGGACTAATCCTCCTGTCTCCAACCATTGTGCGAATTCCTCAAAACTGGCACATATCTTGTCCCAGCCGGCCAGGCGTCATGATGTATCTCTCTGGGGCCTGGGCCTGATCCCTCTCTCGTGTTTGCAGCTCTTTTCGCAATTTCTCATGCCCTGCCTCGGCGCTTCCCTCTTCCTTTTGTCGATGATCTGAACTGCCGATTTGGCATGAGCTTGGCCCATGTCACACTGGCCGCGCGATCGCGGCGGCTAGCCGACGCCAACGTGCAGCCCAGCAGCGATTTAATACTAAACGGCACCTTTGAGGCTTTCCAGTATAAATTTGAACGGTAAACAGTACCGAAAGCTGGAATGTGACGAACAACATCAGCGTAAGTAGACAGGTAAGTTTGCCACAGAAGCAAGTAAGTGAGTCCACGGTGCGCGCCTCCGAGCCAGCCACTCTAAACTCTCGTTCGAGCCCAGTGATCAAGGCAAACATCCGAAGGAGCGAACAGCAGCTGACACCATGCATGCGATGCCATGAGCTGTCGCAATCTGTGGATCATACCCGGCTCTCCATGATGTCGTTCACCCCTGCAATAAGCCTTGCAGCAAAGCCAGCACTGGAACAGGTGGAATTTCCCCTGACGAATTTTCAGCAGCTTGTGCGCATGTCATCTTGCCACACTGAATGACTGAATGCGTGTTCCTCTGCTTCTCCCTAGCTTCCCTTCCTCAACTGCATGTGCTGGTCGAATCGGCAATGACGACCAGCCCTGCCCTTTCAGACACCTGGATCCGAAGTTGGAGAGCCGTCTGAGATCGTGGCTGCTCCAATTGATCCAATGAATCCCAGACTGACTTCAGGTACCCATCCTGGAAGGTGCTTATTGCTGCAGGCATGAAGTTCTGACAGCTAGGTTGCGGACAATATTCATGGACGTCCATGTTAGCGTCACCATTCCCGGCCTGGCAGGGGCCGGGTTCGAGAGACAACACAGGGCAGGCATGGCAGCAGCAGAGTGTCAAGCCTGAGTTGGAACTCGAGATGGTCCAAATGTGGCTTGAGGAGGTTGGCGGTGATTGGCCTTGCTACACCGCCAACCGGTTCGGACGGAATGTCTCAGCCCGTTTTTGGCAGTTCTAGGTGCCCTGGTAAGCTCTCCACTTAACCATGCCGGTCACCTTTCCAAGCCAAGATATGCAGTGGCTTTAGGCCCATAAAGAGCTACGGCTGCCACTCTCCGGTACTCTCGCAACAGGTGGTTGAGCTCGTTGTAGAAAGTCTTGAACCTGACAGGCACTGTGATGCAAGATCTTCGTCCAGGGCAGCAACTGACGAGGAGAACGGGCAGGATGTCTCAAATCACATGGCACAGCCGCATCCATGTCGCTCAAGCTTTTCTTCGCTTTCCAGTGGTGTGGCGGGTTGACTCCAACGAATCCGCCAGCATAAAATTCGGCTCGTGGCAAACTGCCTGCGAGTGGGTCATCTAACCTGCCGCCAGGTCTCCAGAAATTTCGTATGCGTGGGCGTGGCCGCAACAAAAAAAGTCAGTTATCACACAAATGATCAAAATCGCACGGTGAATCTCCAAAGTGCGATGCAATGAGTGCCTGGTGATGCATCGGAAGCCTTACACTCACCAGCGTCAGCATCATGATGTGGATGCCGCACGGCCAACCTCTACGTCCTTCATGACCAGGCACGCTTCGGTATAGTATGGCTTCTCTCGAAGATCAGAGTCGCTCAGATCACGCTGGCATCGGCCAATGCACAAAAGCTTTCGTGGGTCCTCGGGGCCGTCCCACGCTGCCGAGGTAATGAGCACAATCCTCGTCATGAATGCGGTTGTTACTCCTATTCGATGGCAAGAGTCGGCACTGTGCAACCAGTTGCACATACCTCGCATGCCTGGCTAGCAGCATTGTAGTCTCTCCATGCAAAGTGCTTGTGCTTCTCGTTCCTCCGTGCCATCACAGCCTGCGAGCATCTCCAAGTCTTCTCGCCTGGCCACCTCGCCGTCTGGCCGACGCCAGTCCCCCTGGCTCGGACTCAACTTCTCAATAGACGCCGATCTCCCACGCCTCAGAATTCCTGGATGGAGCAAGTTCGAATTAGGAGAAGCTTCCGAGGGTCTGGAATGGTCTGGCTAGCCATTACGCGGTTGTCACACTTTCGCACCGCAGAGGTGCTGCAAACACAAAACTTTCTGGCCATCAGATCTTCATTGTCTGCACACTGCACAATGTGCACGCAGCACGCTCGGGCTATCTGAGTTGCGATGTCCTAAAGACTGAATCCGAAAGACTCCCAGGCTGCTCAGAGCATGATCTACACAGTTGCAGCAGTGCGGTCGCAGGAAGCGCATTTCTGTGGGCTGTTGTTTTGCTACTCGCTCTCGCTATACCTGATCTACACGAGACAACGGCGACAATGGATGAAACTCAACTCGTCGCATCTGTTAAGCGCCCACGGCGTCCAGTCTTGCACCTCAGTTGCACGACCCAGCACAGCTGAAAAAGCAGTACATCACCATTTAAAGCCCCAAGCAGGCAACTGAAGCTGCCAAGTCGCGCTTTGACCTGTGAAAGTCGTCGTCACCTGCTTGTGACCAGTTCTCCCATGTGGAGACTCCTCCAGCACTTCTCCTCGGCACCGCGTTAAACATCATTTGTGTTTGCGGCCTGTTGCAATGGACAGCGAAGACGACAGAAGACGAAGAAGGCACTAGTTCAAGGCTGAGTCTCCTCGCAGGCGTCTGCCAGGCGAACTGGGCCCAATCGCCACGGGCGGTGTACGCACTCTGCACTGCAGGGACTTGCAGAGCTGGTGGGCGGTTTGGCTCTGGCCCACTACTCGGAGGCTGCCAAGGGGCCTGCGGCAGAGGCAGAAAAAATGGGGGATGAATGGAATGAACTCCAAGGGAAGGCAAGTATGCAATCTTCCTAGACTCACGAGCTTGCATGCTGGTCTAGACACGCCGTCCTCAGAGGGTGCAGGTGCCGGTTCGCTCGTGAGGGCCTGCAGGCGAAGAATTAATTCACCAAGACGAGAACCGAGTCCACATAGATTTGTGCTATGACCCAGCCTGTCGAACATATTGATGCAGAGCTTTGTCTCGCAGAAGCATCGCCACGTCCGCCTGTCTCCCAACTTTGGGCCACGATGCTACTTCGATCATTTCAATCTTCACCGTACCGGTCAAAGTGGACGTTTTGAGCCCCGAGCCTGACCAGACTTGCGGCCTTCGTTCAGCAAACCTCGGGGTTGCAGTTGTTCGCCACTTTCACGGATACTGCAATCTAGCTTGTAAATCACTGCAAACTGTGCCCAAACCTGCAGAGCTGGGACGCCGACGCTGCACTATCCGCTTCATTTCACCACGGCCTCCAGAAGTCAAGGGAGGCTAGAAAGCTTTTGAAACTGTGGTCTCTTGTACTCACCTGCCTATCGGCAAGCCCCGCTCACAATGCTAGCCACCCTCAAAACTCAGAAATAGTGGAAACTGAGGCCGGGCACGATGCGAGATGACGGACTGGTCGAACCATTCCCTTGGACTGAAGCTACTGATAGTGCACACATTAACGCACAGCTGTGGAAGTAGAGTCGGGAGCGTATGAGAAGCTGCCAATTGCAGACATGGCTAGATGGCCCCATAGACAAGTGCTGACAAGCATCTGGTGTGACTCCAGCCCCAGCATTGCAAACCTTGCCACGACTACCATGATGTTGACACGTCCACTGGCACAAAACGTCTGCTATGTCGCTGACTGGTCGGGTGCACGCAGGAGATACAGCACAAACTCAAGAACATATAGGCCGCCTCGGATCCGACACAAGTCGAGCAAGACGTTGAGACCACACTCTTGATGCTGCATAATGCTTGCCATGTTCAGTCCAGCAAAAGCAACAGATGTTAACCCTGGCTGGGTCGAGTGGGTTTCGTGCAAACAAGCCGCAATCGTAGACGTTCCTCAGACACCGGACAATCCCTCTTACTCCGGGCCCAAATTTCCCTTCCTTTTTGCAGGCCCGGTGCTGTTGCTTTGGAACGTCTGCATCCAGGGCCCTCATCTTCTCTAGGCCCGTAACAGCCTCGGAAGCGTTCGGGAGCGGGTGTGGAAACGGAACCGACTTGCATCTCCGAGTCTCGTGCAGCCTTCCATGCCTTCACGGCTGCTTGTCCAACAAAGTTGCCGTTGGCCGGAAGTTTGAAGCCCTGGGCACTGCGAGCTGGAGTGCTCTGCTCTGAGCAGGCAACGCCTCGAAGTTGACCTTAAAGTTGCCGCAGCCAAAAGCCAAAGCCCCTGTCGAGCTGCAGCGCCGCCGAGCGGATTGTTGAACAGCTCTCTTCGCAGGTAGCCCTTCGGGGCTCTCACAGCAAAAGACTGTTGACGTTCCATGTTTCACACGGGCATCTGCTCTACCAAGCTCGTGCATGCATGTGTACCACAGGTACCCCTGCCTTCAGCAGCTTGATCTGTTCATCTTTCGGCACCTTGCATACAACAAGATTATGGTGTCCACGCCAAGCATGTCAGGAATTCAGCATAACAAGAACAGGGCGTGCTTAGACATGTGAGCTTACGCCATCGTCCCAGCAGTCGTGCAAAGAAGGCATTTAGCAACAGAAAACTTCGTGCTTTGAAACTTCCAGTTTAAAACGTTGTAAGCCAAGGCCGGAGGTCTAATTCCGCTTGGAGGACTCGAGATGAAGCGACTTTCTGAACTGACATGAGGTATTGCCCCCGGCTCCACCAAAACAAACATCTGCGTACGACCAACAACGGAAAGAATAGCTGCGCAGTTTCCGCAGCAATGCCGATACTTGCACAAGCGCGAAAGTTCAAAGTGCACCAACTTCTTACCAAGTCCTTACAAATAGTCTCAGAACGTCGCAGCCGGCGCAGCTTCGCTGGCTCGGTCAGGGAGTAGATCCTTCCCTGCTGCCGAGGCACAGGTTCCCAGGCTGAGTCCAGGCACACGATGCGTGGTGCATCCTGAATGCTTTGTGTCTCAGCAGAACTGCATGAATGTGATAACAGCCCTCGCTCACGCACGCATCAACTCTGCGCCACTATTCATTATTCTGAGCCGCTGGGTGTTCGTCACTGGAGTCGGCCAGCTCGATTGCACGGTGCGGATGGCACACGAAGAAACTCGGTCCACCAGAAGCCAAACATTCCGCTTGAAAAACCATTCCAACGGACACGGGCATATAAACTGCCAGGCTGCACACACCAGTGGAGGTTTCCCTGGCAGAACGGTGCAAAGTCATGACTTGGGAAGAAGCTGCATGCTCTGTCTAGGCAAAGCATGGTCAATGTGAGTGGACGCCGTATGCATGTGCGACAGCTTTATCGGCTGTCACGATTGTCATTGGACTTCTACCCATGCTGCGCTCCTGGCTTGTAGCTGCACTTAACGCCCCCTTCCCCCCCTGCGACGGCCCGGTCGGTGGAATATTAACTGCCCTCAAAACATGACCAACAACTTCAACTGTGCCCTTTGGTGGACTTGCACCACGATGATACTCAGATCCTGCCCTGTGGAAAGTCCACCATGTCGGTGGAATGCCTCCAGACTGTGAAGGTCTGCGGTGGTCAGGGCGGATTCCAGTCCGTTGCGGCATAGGCAGAAGAACGGCATCGCAGATTCGGAGTTCCAGGCCAAGAGTGTCGAAAAGCAGCTTGGCAAAGAAACGCCAAGATCGGAGCATCACCCCTAAAACGTACTCAGACTCAGCCTGTGTGTCACCAGAGACATTGGCAGCTCTAAGTCAGAGGTGTCTGTAGGCCGCCACCTTTCATGGATGCACACAGTTGCGCACCTCTTCAGCGGTACTTGCCACTGTGAGAGAGCCCTTGTGAATTTCTGCAACGCCCTCAGAACACTCCTCGGCTCTGGCTACCCGGTTTAAACACCGTGGACCGTAAAAGGGGTTCGGGGCTGGGCTCTTCCACGTGCAACAAAGGCCAGTGAGCTCAATTACCGAGATATGTAATCTTGTAAGGTGTGTGTGTGTGTGTGTGTGTGTGTGCGTGTGTGTAGATGCTGTTCTAAATCAAAGGATGCTCAGGCATTAGGATGGAGCTTGCGCTCGCATTGCGCCGTCTCCCGCGCAAGGGTTTTTCACTCATGTCAGCATAACTACATATGAATACAAAGCTGTGATACATACATTTTTATGTTATGTATCTTGCGCCCGTCCTTGCGCGAGCTTGCGCGCGCACGAGTTACCAGTTTTATCCACCATGCGAAACTTGCGACAAGAGGCGGGGGTTTAGAACGGCATCCGTGTGTGTATATGCGTCTATACAGTTTCCACAAAGATGTGCGTATATGTATAAATGCATATATACAAAGAGGGGGATTCGAAAGAAGCCGCACCATACTGCGCATGCCGCTCATACAGCTGCACGGAGACATGTCGCACATTGTACGGACATGTACGGACACTAGAAGCTATCGGACCTCATTGACCGGGTAGATCAGGACGCGCTGTGAGGCGACACCCCCGGAAACACTCCTGGAAGCAGGTGAACAGTAGCTCTGCGTTGCGCTGCGTTCGCACCCTCGGCCTGGTCCAAGTTTTCACATTTTCCCATCCTTTCTCACCACCTGCAGGAGATCGAGATCGTTTCGTCGATTTGGGCTGTTCAAGTTTCAATGTGCTGCCAGGCGGCTAGATGCGCCACAAGCAGTGAGGCGGGTGAAGAACTGCGTCTTTGCGACCTCGGGAAGACACTTCTCTCCGCGCAATGTGAGGTGGTGGTAGCACTGAAACAGCAGAAGCGAAGCCGCCCACGAGCGAACAGCCTCTAAGTTTTGCAGAGAGACATACAGCTCCTCTTGCAGCTTGGCTGGTGCGGCCACATCGATGGCCAGGCGCCTGACCGTGAAACACAAAACAAGCCAGGTTTCGCTTAAGTTCCAAGTTTCGTCAGCCGGGCAACATGAAAAAATCCATGATGGTATCGTTGAGCCATTGCTCGTCCTCAGACAGTGTGCAACTTTGCACCATTGACGTGCCTTGCACAAGCGACACTCGACCGGAGGGTTCACGAGCCTCCAAGAGGTCAAGATCTCTCTCCTTGGCTCACAAATAATCAAATAATTCTTGTCAACTGGTTGAAGCGACTTCCCAGCTTCAAATAAGATGCTTCCAGGACGGTGCCCTGGTAGCGAAGAGCAAAAGGCCTCAGAAGATGGCCCAAGCTGTCAGACTAGGATTCAATTCTACGGTGACCAGCGAGCTTCAGCCGTCGACTCGACAGCTGGCCGCGGCGTCAATCCCAGCGAGCGGGGCCCATGCCTGAATGCCACTCCGAGAAAAGATCTTGAATCATCTCTACAGTACTTCTGCAGAAACATCCCAGATCAGCTTCGCCGCAGGGTCAGATGCCGTAGCCAGCTCATCAGTGTTGCCAACACAGGTCTCAGCTCCTCTCTGGGACGGATATGGGCAAGGCTTGACATACAGTGCTCGAAGCCGAAGGGGCCTCGGCGAAAGGTGAAAGGGTCACCGTGGAAATTCGATGACCTTCCGCCATGAACTCCACCTCTGCCCAGAAAGCTCCAGAGAGCTCCAGCTGACCCGTTGCGAATCCGTACCATGCCAAATGCCAAGACAGGCTTCAGCTAAACCATACCCGGACGCACCAGAAGAAGCGCGAAGGAGAAGCACTGAAGCAGTCAGGGCATGAAAGCGCCAACAGGCTTAGCACCCCGCTGCAAAACCAGTTGGTGCGAGAGGTGGTGAAAGGGACAGGATCACCTGAGCAGCTGCAAGGGTGGGGCGTCCGGCAGCTGCTTTTAAAATGTACGACGCAACCAAGACAAGCTCAGTACATGCTACTCATGGAACGTATTTCATGCATTGATGATTGTGGCCCACTTGCTGGACACGAACACACCACGACTTGTGTAGCTGCCTGGTCATGATCATGAAACTACGCTCAGCCTAGTGGCAAACTGGCCGTCGCCTTTAACTTCCACATCACTCACAACAGCGAGGGGAATGATAAGCTCGTCTTGCTCATCTTCCTCGCCAGGCTCCTCACAAGGCTTGATCTGCTGCGTGTGTTTCGCACCCGATGAAATTGCGGCCACGGCCCAAGTGTGGACATGCGGATCGGACGATGCGAACACATCGGAACATTTGGGGACAGCTGCGCGCATGGATCCGAGGCCATGGCCAACCAAAGTCCCACCACCGGCAAGCAAGCAAAAGCAAGCAAATGCCCGGACCATAAGATAGAGGAGAAGTCCAGCAAAGAGAACCGCAGCCCAGCCAGCCAGAGAATTGCGAAACGTAGACGTCAGCACAAGAACACCAACAAAAACACGAACAGCAGCAACAAAGTCCAGCCACCAGAGAGACACGTAGCAGCGACGAGATCAATGTATATTGGGGGCTGTGTCCTCATCAGCGTCTACTCAAAAGCGGCACAGCACCGATCCGGATTTAAGCACATTGCATCACCTCCTCTTCGTATAGGCAGCGTGCGCGAAGCGACTGATCCTCGAGGGCCAAGTCGACGTCTGTTTGTTCAAGGCTTCATGACTGCCCAGACTGCCCTCCTGCAGCCAAAGCTGTGCTTCGCCGACCGGCTGGGGCGTAAGAAGACCACGGCTCGGAGGCAGTGTCAGCCTTGAAACAATGGCACACACCTGGCCAACGGCAGCAAAATGAAGGTTCTGCGGTCCGAGCCCGCACAGAACATATTCTCGAGGTGGCTCGGCCTATCACATTGCTGGAATGCTCTCTAACATCTGCTCCAGCTGTAGGTGAGGCTCAGCACGGCACGGCCAAAGCCGTAGCTGCGGCCTCCAGACATTCGCCATCATTCTTTACCGTGGTTGGCTCATCATCGAACAAGATGCATAAAGTAAGAAAGCGAACCCTGGACGCGTTCCCTACAGATATGTCCTAAAGTAAGCACTCGTCCCTGCGAAGGCTTGCACCCTTCCGAAGCACCAGGCCCTGGAGCTGCAGATGTCCATGCGAGACCCCCGGCATGGCCTCCGCATCCGCGCACTTAGCATGCTCGCCCTCCTCGTCGGAGTCGATCGCAATGACTGGCTCTCCATTGGGCTCGTTGGCCATCCCAAGTGCATGTAGTTCTGTGGTCCCTATGCGATTTCGAAAGCTGCCGAGTGCAGATCGTAGCTGGCTTGGTCGGGGATGATTTAACACCTCCGCCCAAAGACAAACGATTTGCTAAATCTTCCGTGAACAGACTCGATCTGGTGGGGATGGCTTCCAAATGCTTCCAACAAACACCCATCTCCGGGATGGTTAAATCTTGATCAGTTCGGATCAGCTGCAGGCCGGTGACCGGTGAACAAGTGAGTACTGCACTGCAAGCAACATGTTGAGACGCTGCTGGTTCAACGTCCAAGCTAAGTCGCCCGACTTCTCTTCCTGCAAGAGGAGCATGCGCGCACTCTCTGGGATCTCAACCTGGGCCGCAAGTCCAACTTCACCATGCTTATCATCGCAGGCGCGATGCTCTTCAGGGGGCGACGTGGCCCATGCGATCCAAGCACTTGGTCCTGAGTCATTCACACAGACAGAGAAAGGCACACATATCTTTTTAGCACTCGCACTCGAGAGGCTTGGCAAGGTTTCAGCCACAACTACAGCTTCAACTGTGTGGACAAGCACACTAGCCTCAAAGTTTCTGGAGATTGCATACATACATATCTACTTACATGCATATACACATATAAGTACATACATACACACACATACATACATACATACATATTTACGTACATATATACATATATACATATACATACATATATACATATATACATATATACATATGTACATATATACATATATACATATATACATATATGTATATATACATATATACATATATACATATATACCTATATACATATATACACATATACATATATACATATATACACATCCACATGTACACATGTGCACATATACACATACCCACATACATACACACAAATACATATGTATATGCTCATGCATGTACATGCACGTATACATATGCATATACATATACACATACACATAGACCGACAAACACACACACACACACACAAATACACACGCAGATACATTTACATATACAATATATACAGATACATACATAAGTACAAATACATGTACAAATACATGTACAAAAACAAATACACATACACCCATAAACATACAAATACATACAGTACATACACATACATACAGAAACGTACTTACACATACCTCTACATACAAGTATACGTACATATACACACACCGATATATGCATATAGGTACATATATATATATATGTGAATGTATGTATGTATGTATGTATGTATGTATGTATGTGCGTGTGCTATGTGTCTATGTATGTATGTCTTTGTATGCATAACTAACTGTTAAAGTATGTGTATATATATATATATATATGTGCACATGTCACATGCGCGCACTTCGTGGCAGTTGTGCTGGGTTCTTGGCTCGCGAATCAACTGAAGGATCTCAGGGTCGAAGTTCACATAGTACGACTTTTGGTCCTGTTAAAGCTGGTCATAGGACGAAGAGCCTCACCCATTGTTTGCAGATGGCAAGTTCCTCGGGAAGCTTGGTGAGGAGAGTCGCGTTCAGGCCTGCCTGGTGGCGCGCTGGAGTACGAACCGCCTCATTGAAAGTGCTCTGCCCACCTTCGTCGTCTCTATAGAGCTCACCCAGGCCTGCCAACAGGAGCCAATTTACATCCACTCCAGCCAGTGCACAAGTCAGTTTCTAACAGCTGTCACTGTGCTCCTGGTGCCATACAATTTCGAACTCCACGAGTGTCTTTGCCTAAGTTCGAGGCTCATGCGCGAGGGATGTGCTCTGCCACACAATGCTCCGGAAGTGCAGCACGGGGGAAGTCGAACATCGGGTAGATTGGCAGGCTTCGGCAAGGGACGCAGTGCCACTTTCGGAGTTGCAACCCCGTGAACCAGGAAACCCCCAGCCCCTTCCGAAAGGAAAAGGTATCCGGGTAGCAAGATTTACAAAAGAATACATTGACCCTCCCCTGGCTTCGCTGGGGAGCTCAGGGAGTGTGCCTGGCATTTGTTTTGCCACCTGCCGATTTGCTGCCGATGCCAAACTCCAAAATTTGCTTCGGTGTAGTAAGTAAGGCGTGCTGTGGCGGTCCCGATGACGAATGTTGCAAAACTAAGCCCGACGCGCTAGTAGGCCAGATAGCAAAGCCTGAGCTGCGCACCATCTTGTTGTAGACTTTGATGACGCGTTTGGCCTCCTTGCCTGCAGTGAACAAAACACCAGATCCAATCGGCAAGCGTGCTGCACGCAACATCTCGGAACAAGATCCAACAAGGGATAAGCTCTAGCCTCCTGCCACTACGAGGGGGTTGTGGTGGAACCTTGTGCCAGACCATGGTTCGGAGTGTCCACCAAGGTTTGAGTGCTCAACGAGTTCACAGACAGACGCGGTGGCAACTTTCAGCAACACTGAGACCCCATCTTTTGCATTGGTTCCATGATGCGGTGCAGCAGCTGCCGCCTCGGGCTGCCACGGTGGACACTTCCAGAAGAAACCAACAATTCTTGTAGTTGATCCAAGTGATATTATTGAGGTCAAGACGACCACATGATATTGCCTGAGTCAGGCCAGGATGAGACGCAGCCAGTTCACAAACCAGGGCATTCTGCGATGATGGGTAATAGGGCTCACAGAGTTTCACGGTAGCTCAGCTGGAAAGCCCCTGGCCGGCCACGGGGGGCATGTTCCGCACAATCTGTGGCGAGACGCGGTGCTTTTCGTAGAAGTCCTGTTAGAACATGCTTGGAAGCATGAGCATTACATGAGCGCTTGTCGACGATTCCCCCACCTTCAAGGCCTCAAGCTCCTGACCATAGTTGTGGAAAATCACCTGCATTCAATCCCAACTCACACGAGCTTCCGGAATCATGCCAGCCAAGAGTCCGACTGCGAACTTGGACTCCAGATCCGTTTTCAAGCCTGACAAGCAAGGTCCAGGTCGGGCTGACTAGCACCACTTCACTCACTCGGCCGCACAACGTGACACGAACAAGCAAGCGGAACTTGCCCATCCGTCGCTTTCAAGATGCACGGGGCAGCGCCGATTCTTCGTCGGGCAACCGGTAATAAGCACAGGAACTGCATGGAATGGAGGCCAGTCGGCAAATGCCGGCAGAGCATCCCACGCTCGCTAAAATCACACCAGCTGCTACCGCCACCCAGGCAAGCCTGGTTACACTTGAAAGGGACAAGGCAGCATCACTCGCACGAGCTGGCAGGACGCAGACATCTGCCGGGTCCGAGAGCACCACCTGAGTGATTCTATAACGGACACCCAGTGGCAGGACACCTTCTCACATGGATCAACACGGTTCCGGTAGTGTTCCACGCTGCTTTGATAAAATGACAAGCTGCATCTGCATGGCGCCAGGACTGGTTGAATTTGGTCTCGAGCTGTGCGCAGTCAGATGCTGAAGATGTCGAATTCAGGCACAGCTGGACGAGGCCGAAAATTGCCCAGCCATTGTGAGGGAGAATGCCTTCGTGGACTGAAGAAGGGTTTTGCAGGAACAGACTTGAGAGGAGAATCTACCTAGAATCTAGACACAACCAAGAAGCTCAGGCTTTTCTGCCAAAGACTGTCTGCCTCCTCGGCATGGCCCAATCTCGCCAGAGCCTCGCCAAAACGATTGGCGACTGGCAAATACCATGCCGGCGGCTCGTCGTAGGGCAACTCGGCCTCCGCCAAAAACACGAGAAGAGACGAAGAGATGCAGACACAAGAGACAAAGGAAAATTTTCTCCCACACGAGAACACGGGCCTCGGCCATTAGAGCCTCCTTCCACGCACTTAGCTCGTCTGCATGCTCCGCCCTGGCCACATGAGCCTTTAACTCCAGGCTGGCCAACCGCAGTATGGCATCTGCCGGGTAAACTGCCCAATCCTGCAGAACAGCTCGGAGAAAAGAAACAACGCGCACTGCCGCGCTGCACTGGCAAACCCGGCCTTGCTTCCATTGAAGTTCTGCCAAGCCATCCCGGATGGAATGGCCATGCGTGCTTGAATGCGCAGCCTGGGCAACGAAAGCAGTGAAACATGCAAGGCTTTGGTCCTGAATGAACACGGACGGCGAACACACCAAAATAAAAACCGATCCTGTACGTCGAAGAGGAATCCAGTTTTGGCCCCAAACCGTTTTGCAACTGGCCCCTAAACCTAAACCAGACCGGGGTTTGGCGCCTTTCGAGTTTCTGGGGTGTAGCTGCGAGGCGTATTGTCTACCTTGCGCTACCTCAACAGACGTTTTGTGGGTTCTCTTTAACTTCAACCTTTCATCTGGAAGATATGAAGGGCCCTACAAAACAGTGTTTTGGTAGGTTAAGTGCCCAGCCAATTCTGGCTGGTCGGAATAGTTTGCTGTAGTAATTACCCCAAAAAAAGCCTAGAATGTATACCATAAAGCACCCCAAAACCCCATGATCCATGCCTCAGTACTCATTCTGTGTCTGACCCACTGGGCGCAATATGAGAGTGCATATCTGGCATCCACGACACGCATATTTGGATAGCACCACCCGTTAGTAGGATAAAAACAGTTGCACTCACTGGTACTTGTAGTGCCCACCGCTCCTGGCAGTATACACACATATGTCGTGGACAGCCAAGCCCTGCAACCAGCTGCCTGTCGCTTCAATCGTTGGGCAACCACGGAACATTACGGAGGAAAACGCGGGGCGACGCAGCTAACGGTACACAGGGAAAGCGGACCCTTTGCACCTGAGAAACTGTGGGCAAGGAACAATCCTCATCATCAACGTCAACACCACTTCTGCGGCTGACTCGCGTTCTCAAACCGCAAGCCGTCACGGCAACAGAATAACAGAATAACTGCTTGAGGCTGCCCTGGTCACTAGGGGGAGACCCGCGGAGGGAGCATCGTGTGTAAATAATCGGACGCGGGGAGCAGATTTGCACCATGTGCTGCAAATAACAGGACGCGGAGAGGTGACAAAGGCAGAAAAAGAAGAGAAGGAAAGCAAGCCAAAAAACAGACTGACCTCCCCCCAAAAAAAAACAAAGAGTACCGAAATTCGCTTCCTTCTAGGTAAGCTTGCAAGAGATTGCTGGTCCCCCCAAGTCGTGCAAGTGGTACAACAAACCAAGATTACCAAGATAACCTATCGGGAAACCCCACCCCCTCTGACTCTGGGGACAGAAGCAAGCTTACCAAGATCAGCCAGATCACCAAGATTCTCGAAACATTTAGCGGATTTTAGCGGTTCTAAGTTTCAAGTAGTAGGTTGGTAGAAGTCGCCGTCGTAGTAGTAAGCACACTCAAGAGGCTACTTCACATGGCAGATACGGATGTGTGCTTGCCCACTGGCAACGCAAGTATGCAGCTATGCGTCCGTTCTTGCTGCAACTGCTCCAATTCCTCTCTGGCCCTGGAGACATAACCCTGCTTGGAGAGCGCAGCTCCCTTTGCGAAATGCCACATGCCTTGGGATTTGTTCATCAAGGAAGCGAACTCAACAAAAGGCAGCACAAATTTGGCTCGGCATCTGAAGACCTTGCCTCCAAGAACTGGATCCAACTTGCATTGTTCCGGCAGTTGTGCTGATGTGATGGCCGTCAAACGCCCAAATGCGAGCAAGGTCAGCGGCCACACCGACGCAAAACGAGCCGGTGGAAAGCCCGTCTCGAAAACACCAGTGCCAACCTTGGCTGCGCCGGGGCGAGCTGCCGTGACAACCAAACCGTCGGAAACAATTTTTGCTTCATGTTAACTCCCCAAAAGGCCTTGGAAGTGCCATGTCGGCCGGAACGATCCCACGACCTTTCAACGAAAGCTAATACTGCCGTCACTGGGCAAAGCCGAGCTGCAAGTGGCAAGGCCAAGTGCTCGAGCGACTTGGCAGCATCCAGGGAACAGGCCGATCGGCCTTGTATTCGGCATACCCAAGACAATGTATCAAGATTGTGCATCGGATAAATTTGTCTGGGAAGTGACGAAGCCCTTCCGTTATCAACGTCGGCGACGTAGAAATCACCCGTGTGCATGAGTGTGTGGAAGCTCATGTGAACCAAATGAGGAGCCCCTGGCATCAGATTTGGCAGCAGCTCCGCAAAGGGTCGCGCCAAATGAAGCAAGGACTGATTGCCACTGGCTTCCGTTACATGGACGTACAAATGCACGCAAAATGCATGCCGGGGGTTGCTCAACAATGCCTGCTGGAGAATCTGCAGAGCCTGTTCGGCCTCTCGTCTCATCCGCCCTGATGGCTCCCAATAGTTCCACGGCCGCGTGTTCATCCAAGCATCTGCCACTAATGCAGCTATGTTCGGATGAGATTTGGGTCCTCCATCCAGATCAGCAAGTACATGGGCCATTTCGTCTGCGAATGCATGTGTCAGTTCGTGCTCCTGTGCAACATAGTCTTCAGGTACTGCCCTGTATCTAGTCAGCAGAGCGCGGACGAGTCCAATCTCAACGCGGTTCGCGGTACTGCGTGCTCGGTCGTAAGACTTGAGAGCGCTCATCCGTGCCGCTTGCTGCGCCTTTTCGTAAGCTAAAGGAAGGCTTTGCAAGAGTCTGGGCTCGTCGAAGCTGTTGAGATTTGGCCCGAGGGCGAAGCTTTCACCCCAGATGCACATGACACATCCTGGATCAACAGTCTGCGCAGCACGGAAGGAAATTACGGCACGCCGGAAATCGAAGGCAGCAATGAAGCGAAATCCTTGGTCGAAGTACCTCAGCTGATGAAATCAGCCGCGAGGTCTCGGACAGACATTAATTTGATTGTGGAGGTTCTTCAAAACTCTCCAGTCGATCAGAATTGAGGTCTGGTGCCTTTGTGCTAGGCTTGATGCCTCCACAGGGAAGGATAGGTTGCCCAAGTCCTCAAAGAGTTCGATATGACTTTCAGTTGGGGGCCAACCAGTGTCAGGCTCCAGAGTGCCACAATCCACAGTGATCGCAATCCCACAAAGCAAAGCAGCGACCACGGCCATTGCTCGGAGCACTGAAGAAACTACAGCTGTGTGCCCGAGCTGTGTAGAACAGAAGGGAACCAGATCGTGGACAGAGCCCAGATTCTCAGATCTTATGCACAATGCTCCGTTCAAAACCCGAAGCATCCATTGAGGCGAGCACTGCCGTGCTGCAGGATACCTTTTGCAGGCACAGCATGGAACTCGAAGGTCTCTACTGCGTAGGGTTGCAAAGTTTCAATTCAGTGACAGCGCTTGAGTTGTTGGCATTTTAATACTGGCCGGGGTCTTCGGCTGGCTTCGGGATGTGCATGGTTTTGAGGCCTCGCTGATCTGCTTGCATCGACTTTCATCCGCTCGAAGGCATGACCGTTCCGAAGCGAGACGCCAGCGGCTTCCAGATTCCAAGACACCCCTCCCCTCCTCCCTCAAGGAGGAGGTGCAGCCCGACATTGTTCCAGTGACAGCAGACGACATCCTTTCAGATCTTTCGGCTGACTTCCAGTGACACAGCTGTTACTTCGGGGTCGGCTTGATTCGCTTTCGCCTGTGCCACACGTGGACGGCACGGCATAGCGTTTGTCTTGTGAGATCGGGTTGATCGGGAGTTATGTAGAAGATTTGCGCTGGGTTCTTGCCGGACTCGGGCAGGTCGTTCTTTCTTCCACGTGCCTCCTGCAAAAGAGACTTCATGCCAAGGCACCCTGGAACTTGCTCAGTAGCTTCAGCGACGTATCGATCGACCTGCTGCGAAGCAACTGTCAGCACCCTGCTGCATCTACCGCAAATGCACGCATCGTCACAAGCTCTTGCTGCCCAAACGCGCAATGTTCTGGAAGGACTGGTTGATGAAGTCCTGCCATTACCCGAAAGCCATTCGTTTTGACTTCGGATTTGGAGGCGGGACGGTTATTCGCTGTAGTTCTCCTGCAGCGCACTCTCAAGTTCGCTGATGCGGACATTAAACCTGGCAGCTGGAAGCGACACACATCCGCACACGCTTCATGGGCAACTGTGCTCCACAAACCGATCCCGACATCTCACGGCCATTTAGTCTAACACGAGCCAGACTTACTCGACGTAGTCTCTGTCAAAGCGGTTGTTCAGGAAGTCCAGCAGGTCCTCGGGTCGGCGTGGCGAGCTGTGCATATTACACCCCCAACGGGGCCAGGGCACTCAGGCACTCAGGCACTCACATGACTCTTGAACTTGAAGTCGTCCACGATGGTCTGGAACGAGCCCACCAATTGATGGATCCTGCTGGCGAAGCTCGTTGCAGAATCCATCGCAACATCCACCAGAACTGTGTTTCCGGATTCTGACTGCTCAGTCTCAGGAAGCCACCCATCCATGGACTTCAAGTGTATCTTAAGCTGGTTGAACTGGTGAACAGTACTGAACCTAGACGCAGGCTGAGAGTCTTCGCTCCGAGATGGCGCCAGTCGCTGAGGTGCGGGCATGTGTATGAGCTTGACAACCCTTCGGCAGAAGAGATCGAAGCGCCCGAAGATAAGACTTTCGTTGAAATCAAACCTTGCAGCGGCAAGCTGTAAGGTCACTATCCAAATCAGAAAAGCCATGCGTCTTAGGAATCAGCTGCTTGCCCTTCGGCAAAGTCATGAGCTTGTTCTTGGTGAGGTTGTACTGCTCTTGGTACCTCATGCATGGTCAGTTGGGATCAGCGAGAACTAGTAGCAGGGTTAAGTCAGGCTTAAGTCCAGAGCCAAGCTTCTGTTTGGTTTAGAATGGTTCAACGTGGGTGATTTTCAATTTTCGGCCAGAGGGCTATGAAATCACACCTCTGGTGTCTAGACCAAGCATTTCAAGTTTCAAGTCTCACAGCTCGGACAACCCCAGTGAATCTCAATCTAGTTCGGCAAACGATAGTCCGTTTCCGTGCTGGGGAGTTAGAGGCGGGAGTTTGGGCTGGTCGTGCTCCCGACTTCTGCGAAACATGCAGCTTTCCCCTGGCAAAAACTGATAAGCCCCAGACGCTTCGTTGAGCTTGAGGCATATGTCAAGGTGGCCGATCAAGTCCGGAGGATATGTATCCCAAAGCCTGACTGGCAACATGTATCACAATGACCTGACACCAAAGACCAGGAAAGTCCTTCCAAGATGTGGAAGACACCACGGATGATTTTATAGCAGCAAAGGCTTGGCTCATGACTGAGACGCATCCTCACAGTCTCCGATGATGCAGGTCTTGCCCAGGGAACCAGGTCCACTGCAACCGAGTGTATTTAGCTTGCAAATGCACCCTGCAGTTGTTGATCATCTGGTTGGTAATCTTGGAAAACAGGTTGGTGATGCGCTCTGACCTCAGATGTAAGAAAACCTGAGGTCACTGAATGCTGACAGCAGGATCGATGCCGCCATAATTTCAGCCCGAAGCGTGTTGTAATATCTTGCAATAGTATGGATCATCGTCACCTGGACCAAAGCAAGGTTGTAAACGCATCGTATCGCAATTCGTTCAACGTTCTCGGTCTAGCTGCCGAGTTCAGCAGCGCGGGCAAGGTGTCGATAATTTGAGACCTGCCGCATCCAATTGCATTCACGGCGACCTGTCTTCAACTTAACGTCCGAAAAGCTCGGAGTGCTTCTGGGGAGGTCACGGCGTTCCGGAGTAGAGGGGCTCAATGAACTTCTCGAGGGTAGTGAGATACTTCACGTTGTCCTGCCAACAGCCGTCGTTCTACGGGCCAGAGAGAACGAACTGTCGGAATGTGGGAAATCGCGCTGCTAAATTCCGCTGGTTGGATTTCGCCTTCGCCTCGTTGAAAGCTTCCGTGATGGAGATGTCCTTTTGTTGCACACGACAACCCTTCTGCAAGCTTGAAGTTCAAATCTGCATGTCAAAAGCTCGGGAAGGTGCGATTTGCTTCCAGCGCCGAAGCGTGTTGAAGACGGTTTGGCGGCCTGGGAACATCTGGGAATAGAGTGGACGGGCGGAAGAGACTGAACTAGCATACGGGTGGTCTGGCGAAATTTCCAGAGCTTCATGCCTTGAAGCTTTTAAAGGAGCGTCTTGTCCGATAAACTCCTGAACCCCGCGATCCCCCGCGTCCTGGTTCACTCTTTGGCGGCACTGCTTCGTCACTGCTTACAGCTACTGCTGTCTCAACCGGACCCGGTGCAAAACTGAGTGAAGAGGGCCTAGGGCCTGGGCCTGGAAGGAGAAGCGGGACCGCCGGGACGCCGCGGGACGCCGCAGGACGCCGCACGTTTAATGTCGGACTGAAGCGACGTTTTGTTCATGGAGCGCAGTCGAGGTTACGCTGAACAAGCCAGGCAACGCCTCTCGGTTCGCAGTCGGACATGACGCTAGGATACGGGTCCTTGCAACTCTGACTCAAAGGACCAACGAGACCAGCATGCTTCGGCATAATAGAACCAGGTGCACCCGTGAGACAGAGACAGGATGTGCTTGCTCAACACCGGTCCCTGCAAGTCACACAAGTCCGGCAGCCAAACACGGAACAGAATCTGTAAGCCCGAAAATTGGTCTGTTCGGCATGGAGTGTTGCTTGCGATCGGCTGCGACCCGTAGTTGTTGCCGTCGCAGGTGCCGGGCACCGAGCAATCAGAGCCTACTGATGATCACGGGCATTGAGCAATCTCAAAAAAAATCACAGCCCGTGTTTGCTCGACGCATTGCTTGCAGGAGCCACATACAGCCAGTGTCACTCCAAACACACACCTGCTCTTGCTTCACTGCCACGACAGGTCGACAGTTGGACAGTAGAGCCATAACGGCAGTGCCAGCTTGAAAGCCTGATCTTGAAACGCGTATTGCACAGGACAAGGTTCAGGAGTCCAGGAGATTGGGCTCACTGCTCTTTGGCGCCACGTCGCTTCCACCCTGCTGTCGGGTCACGGCCTGAGCGCGGAGCTGTCTCGGCACTCACTTCACAACACTGGCGGCCCTGGTTGAGCCGGCTTTCAGAAAGGCATCCCATAGCGTCATCCCTTTTTCTACAACAGCCGAGAGCGGCGAAAGTGAGCTGTGGCACCAGTCGATTGCAACTCCTACATAGCTCGCGGTGCTACCATGAAAAAGCAAATAGAAGCATAAGCGAATCCAGGATCACTTCGACTTCGTCAGCACAAGCGTGTGGCTATCTGACCATCCAACTTGCATTCTCCATACAGCGTTTATGAACTTGTGGGAAGTGGAACCCACTGCAGACTGCAGGGCTCGCGGGCATGCCTCCGTTGTTGAAGCTGGTTCCAAATGTTGACCGCGGTCCACACTTTGGAAATGCTCAGCTGCAGGAAGCCAGATTCAGTGGCTCAAGTCGGTGGTGCAGGAGCGAAACGTGAGGGCTTGCAGCAAACGGCAAAGCCAGTGCAAGCGTAGCCATGTAGCAATAGCACGCTCCAAGTCTTTGAATAGGGACAGCAGATGTCGTCGTCAACCGCCGCCAGCCTGCGCATCTGTCCAGAAAGAAAAAGGCCGCCCGCCGACTAGCAATATAGCTCCTGAGTCGCGAAGCGAACGTTTCACTTGAGATTTAGATCTCCTTCCTGGGAATAAGGCTTCAGCTATAGAGCTAAAGTCTTAGGAGAGGTACGTGCGTGTGTGTCTGGGTGGGTTCGCGCGCGTGTGTCTAAATCGTGTATGTAAGGAAAGTCCCTCAACCATCAGCCATCATGGATTGGTAGTCAGTTCAGAAGCGGGGGAGCGGTGCACGGACGAAGGTATCTTTCAACAATATCGACCTGGGATCCTGGGTCGACGTACCTGCATGACCGCTTGGCGGTCCAAATTGCCCTCAACCTTTTGCTTCTGTATTGGCTGAGAATCATGTTTCGTTAAAATTAGCTTGGGATGGCTGTCTGCAGTGCAACTTTTCACGCCTTGTTTCCTGCAGTCGTGAAAGGGCTACCTGGAGGTGGGAGTTGCGCGGAATTGCGGGGAAGACTAAAGGCAGGGCAGGGGTGGGAAGGGTGCTGAGGGTAGGAAGGGTGAGAAGGTTGGAAAGGGTGGAAAAGGTGCGAAGGGTAGGAAGGGTGGG